TAGTGGAATGGGGAGTGGAGGTGGGAGGAGGTGCTTTGGGGGTAGGTATTGTGCTGGGATGGTGGGTGGGGTGGGGAGGTGTGCTGGATGGGGGGAGAGGCGTTGTACAGGGATGGGGTGTGGGGAGTAGGTGTTGTGCTGGGATGGGGGGGTGGTTAGGAGGTGTTCTACTGGGATGGGGGTGTGGGTGGGGGGCGAGAGGGGTTGTACAGGGAGGGGGTGTGGGGAGTAGGTGTTGTGCTGGGATGGGGGGGTGGTTGGGAGGTGTTGTACTGGGATGGGGATGCTCAGGGTGGGCTGTTGGGGAGGAGCGGGTAGACAGTTCACAGCAGCGAAGAAGGGTCCCGACCTGAACCGTCAGCTTTCCTGCTGCTCTGATGCTGCGTGGCCTGCTGTCTTCCTCCAGCTCCACACTGTGTTATCTCTGCATCGGCAGTTCCTACTTTCTCCCAGCAGTGAGACTTTGGTTCGAGTGGACTGGAGATTGGAAACTCCTGAATATCAAACATTGCCGGAGGGTCAGACGGGGATCTTGGATCGATCAACCCCCTCCCTCTCCCCCTTGGTTACCACACAGCGGCAAACAAACTTGAAGACCCCTTCAACCCCCACCTCAATCCCTCTCCGTCTCACTCTGTCTGTCTGTTTCTGTCTTTCTCCCTGTCTGTCTGTTCCCCATCCCCCTCCATCTCTTTGTCTCGCTCCCTCCCTCTCCATCCATCCCTCCCTCTCCCTATCTATCCCTCCCTCTCAATCTCTCCGTCCCCCTCTGTATCTGTGCCTCATTGTTGGAGAGCATTTGGGAGCAGAAGGGACAAAACAGGGGTGGTTCACACGTAGAGAGATATATATATATATTATAGAGAGAGAGAGAGAGAGAGTTTGAGTGTGGGGGTTGGGGGGTGGGTGGGAAGCGTGAGAGGGGGTGGGTGGAGATGGGAGTGGGCTGAGGGCCGGGGAGGATGCGGGAGAGATGTGGGGTGCAGGGTAGACTGCCACATTAGGTAACCCAAGCATCCATTCGCATGCGCTTGACTGATGGGTTGTCAGCCTGGTCACCCGCGGGCACAGACAGGGCACCCACGGGGGCAATATAGTCCCTGCTTTCATCTCGCTCGCTGCCCTCAAACGAGCTGCTGTTACTACTCAGGCTGTTAACTGGGGAACGGCCCGTGTCCTGGGGTAGGCCCTGCTGGAGGAGGCCTGATGGGGTGGTATGATCCCGCGTCGGAGACACTGGCTCAGACTTCACATGTACATCCTGAGAGCTGCTAACTGTCAGTGTGGAAACCTGAGGGAGCTGGTTCCCTGGAGAAATGCTGCAGGGAAATAACAGGAAGGTGTTAGTGTCTGACTGTACAGCTCCCTGCGCACCCCCCAACAAACACTGTACCCCCACCGCAACCTCCCAACACCCTCTCCCAGGGCAGGGACATTACGGGGCTCGATACAGCGTCCCCCCCCATCAAACACTGTAACCCCACTGCAACCTCCCAGCACCCTCTCCCGGGGCAGGGACAGCACGGGGCTCGATACAGTGTCCCGCACACTCCCCCATCAAACACTGTACCCCCACCCCAACCTCCCAACACCCTCTCCCAGGGCAGGGACAGCACAGGGCTCGATACAGTGTCAAGCTCCCTCTACCCTGTCCCCATCAAACATGCCCAGGGACAGCACGGGGTTAGATACAGAGTAAAGCTCCCTCTACACTGTCTCCCCCATCAAACACTCCCAGGACAGGGACAGCACGGGGTTAGATACATAGTAAAGCTCCCTCTGGACTGTCCCAGAACCGTTTTCCCTCCCGGATTAATAAGGGGTGCGCCCAACAATGCCAGTCTATACGCCACCCCTCCCCACCGCAGACCCACGTGCCCCGAACCCACGCCCCGTTCCGTACTTACAACAGGTTGCCAAGCGTCGCCGGGGCCAACTGTTGCCAAGTCGCCACGTTGCTGAGTGACAGCCCAGCCGGTGAGTTGAACGACTGTAGCGCTGTTAAATCTGCGCTGGTCAGCTGGTAGTCTGCAAGACAGGCACCCGCGAGGGAGTGTCAACATGCAAAGCTGGAGGAGGAGGAGGCCACTCAGCCCAATGAGCCTGCTTACCCCTCCCCTCTCCCTCCCCAAGTTCTGGGGAAGGGTCACTGGCCTCCAAACGTTAATTCTGATTTCCTTCCCACACAGGCTACCAGACCTGCTGAGCTTTTCCAGCAACTGTTTTTGTTTGAAAGATCTGACCTGATTATTTCGCCCAATAACCGTTCACACCCTCCTTCGACCTTAAACAAATAAAGTTATTTCAGCCCTTTGAGCTCCAAAAGATTGTGACCGCCGACCGGCCTTCACCTACTCTTCACACTATTCCAGGCGTGGCCTCACCAACGCTCTGTTGTAGTTCCCTACCCTCTTCTGATCCCCTCCTGACGAAACATGGCGTTTTTTAACAAGCTTTCTTGATCGCTTGCGATACCTGCTAGCCTTTAGCAAGCTCTGAACTCAGGTGCCCTGGATCCCTCCGCATCGTGAAGCTCTGCAATCTCTTCCCCACCCACCTTGCTTCGTTTCTGTCAGAACGGGACAATTTTACTTTTTCGCCCACATTACGCACTATTCGTCACAGACTTCACCTGCTCACCTAACCTGTCCTGATGTCCTGTTCACGACTCCCTGCCCTACCCAGCTTCATATTGTTGGCTAATTTAGCAGCCCAGAGATTCCTCTGAATTAGACTTTACAAAGGACAATGGGGTGGCCTGAAAGACACACATAAAATTTATGAAGGGAATAGACAAGGTGGAAGCAGGGACATTGTTTCTACTGGTGGGTGAAACTAGCGGGGGGCATAGCCTCAAAATAAAGGGGAACAGATTTAGGACTGAATTGAGGAGGAGATTAGAACGTAGAACAGTCCAGCATAGTACAGGCCCTTCGGCCCGTGATGTTGTGCCGACCTGTTATCCTACTCTAAGATCAAACTACCCTACATTTTACTATCATCCATGTGCCTATCCAAGAGTCGCTTAAATGTCCCTAATGTATCTGACTCCATCACCACCACTGGCACGCACCCACTGCTCTCGGTGTGAAGAACCTACCTCTGGCATCTCCCCTACACCTTCCTCCGATCACCTTAAAATTTATGCCCCCTCGTGATAGCCATTTCTGCCCTGGGAAAAAAGCCTCTGGCTATCCACTCCATCCACGCCCCTGATCGTCTTGTAAAATTCACCTAAAGGGTTGGGAATCTGTGGAATTCGCTGCCCAGTGAGGCTACCTCGTTGCATTTCTTTAAGGCAAAGGTAGATTTTGGAACAGGAAACGGATTAAGGGTGAGCGGGCGAGTGGAGCTGAGTCCACGAAAAGATCAGCCACGATCTTATTGAATGGCAGAGCACGGTCGGAGGGGCCGAGTGGCCTACTGCTGCTCCTGTTTCTTGTCATTCAAGTCATCGATGTAAAAATATGAGGCCCCAGCACTGATCCCTGCGGGTACATCCTGCCGACCTGAACTTGTTCACACTTTTTGCCTCTTGCGAGCCAAGCAACCTTTGACCCAGGCCCCCAGTGTTACCCCCAAAGTCCCAAGCTCTCATTCTGCCCAACGACCATTGATGTGGCACCATATCACATGCCTTCTGGAAACCAAATACAGTACATCTACCTGGCTCCTTTTCTCCAGAGCACATGTTACCGCCTCACAGGGTTCCAATAAGAAGCGGTCAAACAGGATTTCCCGTACAAAACCACAATGACCTTCAATTTTCCCAACTCCCCTATATCTTTAATAGTAGCTTTGAATATTTTCCCTACAACAGATGTTAAGCTAACTGGGATAACACAGCGTGAAGCTGGAGGAACACTGCGGGCCAGGCAGCATCAGAGGAGCAGGAAAGTTGACGTTTCGGTTCAGGACCTGTCTTCAGAAATTTCCCCATTTCTGAAGAAGGCTCCCAACCCGAAACATCAGCTTTCCTGCTCCTCCTCTGATGCTGTGTTCCTCCAGCTTCCACACTGTGTTATCTCTGACTCGAGCATCTGCAGTTCTTACTATTTCTGATTAAACCAAGCGGTTTGTGTTTTCCTACATCCAGTCTTTCTGGCTTGATTGATTGTTGGGACGGGTGCGGAAATACAGCGAAAAGCATTCTTTTGTGTGTTATCCAGGCAAATGTACCTCACAGTAATTGGGCAGAACATAGTAGTGCAGCGACAGGGAAGGTGCAGAGAAAAGATCAACTCTAACGTCTGAAAGTTCTGTTCAGAAGCCTAAAAGCAGCAGGGGCGAACCTGTTGGTCCGTGCGTTTAAGCTTTTGTACCTTCTGCCTGAAGGAAGGGGTTGGAAGAGATTATAAATCGAGGGGGGAGGGGGATCTTTGACTCGGTGGGCTGCCTTCTGGAGGCAGCCAGAAATGTAGGCCAAGTGGAGGCCCAGATCTGCCAGGCAGATTCCCGCTGTCTATGGTAAGGCCTAATTGACGTTACGGGATACAAAATGAAACCGTGTTAAGGTCGAAGATGATGACTCTTCACCCCCCGTTGTGCTTTCTATGCATGGTTTGAGCAGAATATCACCGGTGGGGGGGGCACCTGCCCGACAGCCCAGGCACACATTCTCCTCCCCCCCACCGTCACAGCTGCAGATGTCAGATCCGTCTTCCCGAGAGTCAACCCTAGGAAAGCGATGGGCCCGGATGGCGTCTCCAGCTGAGCGCTCAGATCCTGTGTGGACCAACTGGCGGAGGTATTTGCCGACGTCTTCAAACACTCCCTCCTACAGGCTGAAGCTTCTACCTGCTTCAAGAAGAC